GCGCAACGTGCTCGTCAAGGACGGCCGGCTCTCCGGGATCGTTGACTGGGAGTTCGCGGGGTGGTACCCCGAGTACTGGGAGCTCGTCTCGATGGAGTGGCAGATGGTCAGAGAGCCGCTCGCGCACGCGTTTTGGGACGCGGTGGGCCTGTTCGGACCTGAGCCGTACCAAGAAGAGCTCGCCCTGGAGTGGGCACTCTTGTGCTGCAGCGGTGACACCGCCTTGTTCGACGACAGTGGCGACGAGATCATGGTTTCGTGCCCAAGGTGAGCATATTTTCTGTACGTTGGGTGCGCAAGCTCACGCTCATTGTCAGGGTCAAACGGGAAGTTTATAGCTCTGTTGGGTTGGATTCGTGCACGTAACATTGATGCTCGACTCGGTTGTATTGCATGGTGTCCCTGCTGCTACCCTCATCTTTCCGATTTGTCTGTAGGATCTATGTCACGCTGAACAACTCACCCTGACCAGTGGTGCTATTTACATCACGGACCAAGATGGATGTTCCGCGACTGCACACCGACTGCCGTCTTTTGATCCGACTCCTCCTCCGTGCATCTGTTGTACATATTCACAACCAGACGTAGTCCTCAACCTTCCGCTCTGTCACCGAGATCTGGCCGCCCTTCAACACTGCTCGCCCGCCGGCCCACTGGCATCACGCCCGCCATCGGTATGAGCAGACCGCGCGTCGGTCTCTCTGCGCGAAGTTGCGCAGGAGCTCGCGGGTGCACATATTCATACGTCCCTATGTCGTGTACCGTCAGACTCGGACCCATTGGTTGCGCAAGATGGCAAGTATGGTTTCGGTATAGAAGACAAGCTGCCCATTCTCAAAGTATATCATATGAAGTCCAGCTGCTGGTCCCCGATCACTGAGGAAAGCAGGTGGGCAGAACCAGGCCTTCGACTGGTTTTCACAAGACCTCCGGGGACGCATGAGGTACAGCCGAAGCTAGCACGGACATCCAATTCCTCTCGCATGGAAGCCGATAAATATACTGGTTCATGATAGATATCGACGCACGGATACGAGCATCGACAGGCATACATAATTCAAGAGTTGCAAGACATCGCATAGTGGGGAGGAGTAAAGGAGGTCCGTCCATAATACATATAGTTCGTCGCTGGCTACGTTCCTGCGATATCCTAGCAGGGACGGCCTACCTGAGGTCTGATCAGGGCCTCCCTGCTCAGGATGGCTATAGAAAATGCCGCTATGCCCCGCAACGTCTCGACGGGCGGCAGGAGCGTGGAGTGGCTTGTGCAGCTGATGCACTGAGCGCGCATCGACTGGGATAATCATAGGGTCGAACCTGTGCAGACAAGAGTGCGCCATCTTACATGGAGTGTCATGTACGGAGACGGCTCTGCGATCGCACGGATGGCGCGAGGATGGGGGTAGTGGTGATTGGCGTCTGACCTCGCGTGGGGAATATCACGCCAGAGCTACCACCGCTTCGTGCTCGAGGCAATCTTCCCACTCCTCGTCTGGCTCGTCGACCAGCTCGATGGTCGACAAGTCCGTCAGGCCGATGGTGTCGGATGTCGGGTAGGAATCAGACGGTTTCGGAAGAGACGCCCGGCGGCGGGCCTTGCGGACGAAGCGCATGAAGGTGCGAACGCGGGACATGGGGGTGCTGCATCGCCTGCGTGTGGGAGGACGAGCATTCCCAGCGTGGATATCGGTTGGGAGCTGCGAAGCGATGCAGCTATCCGCACCCTGCGGATCAAGCGTGGTTGGATGCGGCGCTGCGTGCGGAGTCGTACCGGGAGGAAGGAGCACGATCCGTTCGTTCGAAGAGACAGACGAGGATGAGCTGTCGCCCAATGGTAAAGACTGAGACATCACGATCGGCACAGGAGCTATAGGACGCATGAACACAGCTTGCATACCCTGCCGACGGCCAATGCTCACCTTGGGCTATCGCTTCTGTGGCGCGCCTTTCGGCTTCGAGTCGTTCGCGCTCGCGAAGGCTCGTTGCCTGTAACTCATGTCAACATCTAGAATGAGAAACCCTGGTGGCGTTCAGCAAGCAACTCACGGAAATCTCTGCGCCGACTTCTCGAACATTGCTGCACATCGAGCTGATTCGCCATGTCAGGCCATTGAGCAAGTTCGCGAAGTCTTCGGTAAAGGACGAAGCTCTCCCGGCTTCTAAGATGACCTCGTTCGCGCAAGAACGCAACCTGGTGCCGGTGACGTCAGTGACCGGATCGCGCATCGAGACAGCAGAGTAGGCTGCCTCACGCGGATAGTTTGATTTCGCACTCGGCAGCCGCTGAAGGGTTGAGCAGGCCTTGTTCGACGGATGAAGTGTATAGACCGTGTGTTTTCTCCAAGACGGCATGCAGGACGTTGACTTTCTTCGACGGCAGTTGATGGTAGAGGTACGCCACAAGGGAGGTTCCACCCAGGCTGAACACTCCTATCACGATGTCCCAGACGTTGAAGAGATCGACCATGGTTCAAGCCCTGGACGATGCTATGGAATGGGTGGATAATGGTTCGCAGGGTCGCAGACCGAAGCTGGAGTATGAGGGTATCAGACAGAGACGGACGAGGGGGCACTACCAGGACGATTGCATGGCTGCCATCAAGCCTAGAGTGCGAGGCGTGGGCATAGAAGACTAGAACAAGCCTCGTGGAGACAACGCGTATCGATTATTGTTACCGAGAGACTGCATTTCAGACATCATAAGCTATCACGTACGGCAGAGAGGGGTGCCATACATTACGGTGCGCACCAAGAGGACGAGAAAGCCATGCCGGCAGCTCACGTCGGGAGTCGATGGGAAGGGCGAGCCCGAGCACGGAGTGAGTCTGAGAGCCCGTGATGGCCGTGAGCCAGTATCCTACATGCGTCAATCAACGCTGGATATTCCCAAGGTACATAAGTGGTCTATGGTATCTTCACGGAGGGAGCAGATACAGCGGATTCGTTCACCGTGAATTGGGTGATAGACTCACGCAGGGATCGGGCGTCTACATCCTGCACTATGCCTCGCTTATGTCATTGGCGCCAGCGTCCAAAACAGGAGATGCTCCCAGGATCGTGTAGCGTGTGTGGTTCGAAGTAATGCCTTTCGTCCCCGCTCTTAGCAAGACCGCTGGTCACGTAAAAGTGATGTCTGCGCCGGTGAGTTGAAACAGGTGTCTTTCAGAATTGGCATCTGAAGAGGCAACATACAGACCATCAACCTCGGTCGACTTCCTCGCTATGCATTCATGTCTCCCGAGACAACGGAAAGACATGTAGAAATGGCCAGGAAGGGCACATATGACTTGACTCCTTGCGAGAAAATGTGGAGAGACCGCCAACCGTATCTACTGCAACGCGGCTATGCTTTACGTCCCCGATACGCTCCAGATTGGCGGCCGTCTTGGAGAGGGACAAACATCAACCCGTTCTACTGCGAGGATTCCATCATGACAATGGTAAGTTGCTTGTAGTCCATCCGGAGGTATGCCACCTGGTTTACCATCGCAGCATTGGTAGCGCTTAAACGTCATTGATGCGCGGACCCCCGACGGTCAATTGGTCGCTATCAAGCGCTTCCAGGACAAGGCGCAAGAAGTGGAAATTGGGAGGTTTCTCACCTCTATCAAACAGCCCGAGAATCATTGCGTCGAAGTCATCGACGCATTTCCAGACCCTCAAGACCCAACGTGGACATTCTTGGTGATGCCGTATCTGCGACCGTTCAACAATCCGGAGTTCGAGCTCGTCGGCGAAGTGATCGACTTCGTTCGCCAAATGTTAGAGGTGCGTACCGCTCAACCAATCCGCCCTGCCAGTCGCTTCATGCATTATAGGGCCTTGCTTTCCTTCATTCCCACTCTATAGCTCACAGGTGTGTGCTGTTCCAGCGTAGCGGGCCTCAACGCTGAGGAACTCGGGACACCACAAGGGACATAGCCGCACTCAACGTCATGATGGACGGGAGCCGCCTCTATCCCCACGGACATCACCCGGTCCGCCTTGATTCTTCCCTCGATGCGGTCGAGCAATTGGCTCCTTTGCGTCGCATCGACCACGAGATTAAATACTACTACATCGACTTCGGCCTCTCGGTGCGGTTTCCGCCGGGCGCGTCTCCACAGGTCGTAGGAGACGTCGGCCGCGATGCCGAAGTTCCAGAGCTATCGTGGACGGTTCCCTACGATGCGTTTAAGGCGGACGTCTATGCACTAGGCAACCTTTTTTACAAGGAGTTCGTACTCGTACGTCACTCCGTCGCTTCGCGGCTCACGGCATCCAACTCATCGTTATTGTGGATTGGTCTCTGTAGAAGTATCTCCACACCGAGTTCCTGAACCCGCTCATCAACTGCATGAAGCAGAAGCAACCCGAACTCAGACCACCCGCAGGCGAGCTTGTCGGCATGTTCAAGCAGCTCTGCAAGCTCGAGAATCCGTCTAAAGCACGCTGGAGACTTAGCCCGAGGACAGAGTCTGCACCGGAGCGGATGATCAACGACGCCGTCTCCGCCGTGAAGGGAGGTATCATGGATATTAAACGATTCGTGGGTTGAACGTCTGTCACCTCGTACGTTCGGCGCGACTTGTGCACCTATATTATCGGGCTAATGTGGCTCGTCTATCAGGTTATAAACGAAGGTACACCTTCGAAGTCATCCCGTCGACCAGTACTCTGCTGCCTCCCTATCAACACTCCTGATGTACCGGAATCTGTATACAGAGCTTGGACTGTAGACTTGCTGTGTAACATCAAACGATCTGCTTATGCTTCCGTCATTCCTCTCCTTCCGCATGTCACTCGCCGTGAACGATCCTGCGCTCTTTGCAATCCAGTTATTGATATTCGTCTCCTCTACGATACTGCCCTCTGCACAGTACGTGTCGAGCATCGGCTTCGAAAAGGTCAGGCTGATACCTGGCGAAAAAAGTGGACCGGCCTAGATGAAAAGGCTGTATTTACTGAAGTACTGAGTGCGTGAGTTACTCGCGGCAAAACAAACCGGCAAAAGATCCATTAGCCCACCGCGAGGGTCGAACTCGCAGCCTTCAGATGCACCCGCTATTAAGAGTCTGACGCTCTATCCGATTGAGCTAGGCGGGCGGTATACTACTGTGCAAGCAGTACGATATCACATTGCAGACGCTTGCTGTCCAGATCCTTCAATACTTTCTCATTTGGATCCCTTGACTATGCCCACCACCGTAGGCGCAGAAGCATGGGCCTGACAAAGTGTGAGTGCTATCGGTCTGCCGTGCATGCGTACGAGTATAGTATATATCGAGCAAGATGTGGATTGTGATTGCCAACGCTCTTCTGACTGTTCAACGTAGTCAACACCGGTCGCGAGCGAGCGTCTACGGGATTTCTTCTCGGCCGGGCGGTCGCAGACATAGGAGCGTGCGGCTACGTGCCTGCATTATCATACACGCGTACAGTACCAGTAGAACTAACCAAGCGTACGAGTATGTAGTATAATACTGAACGGAATAAGTATCGTCAGAAAAAGGAGGGGAGGGCCGTGCAGACGATTGTACATGCGGACGGGAAGTGGGGCCTAGAGCAACAGCAGGAGCGAAAGTGATATGTATCAAGGCATCCAGAGGCGTGACAGCGTTCATTCAATTTCCATGGACTCTTTCTCGTATTTCTTCTTCATTACGCTCACTGTATGACTCGTCGTCAGGGTGGGAGGAGGGTCAGGGTCAACAGTAAAGCACGAACCTTCGCGGGAAATCTGACCGGATGACAACCATCCCTCTGGGAAGGCAGCGACAATCTGATGAACCGTGAGCTGAAGGCCGCTACTAAGACATGCAGGGGGCAGACTGACCTTTTGATACAAGTTCTTGCGCACGCCTTGATCACTTACGATCTGATTCGAGTTCTCGAGTTGGCTGTCCAAGGCCCGTCAGACCACGTTCCTCCTAGGTGGAACTGTCACCCACTTCTTCTCGTTCTCGATCCGACAGCACTCGTTGCTCAAGCAAACCAGCTGCCAGATGATTTGCTTCATCTGGTCCGTCAAACGGTACCGTTTCGCCGGCGGGTGCGTCCCTCGCCCGCCGTGCCCGCCGCCGTCCTCATGCTCAGCTTCGTCGAGAGATGGCCGTGCATCCAGAGCCGACGGACCAACACTGGGTGTCGCTTGTGTGTCGCTGACGACGGGTGAGCCCTCGGTAGAATGCGCTACACCGTTTGCGCCTTCCCCCGTAGCTTCCGCTTTGGCGCGCTCCTGCCGTTTCTCTGCAGCACGGGTCAGCTGAAGATGGTATTCAAGACCAAGAGGAAGGCGTACCCCATTGTGCAACGCTCTTCTCCCACTCCTCCTTCGCTTTGGGGAAACCCTCCTCCGCAAGCACGCGCAGCTCCTCAATCAGGGAGTTCTGGCGGTCCATGAGCAGATTCGTATGATCTCGCCATATCGTGCGCTTAATGAGCTTCTGTACCAGTCATGAGCGGCGCATACAGTATGGACAAGCTGTGGTTACGCACGGTCATCGTGAACTTGTTGTACGGGAACAGCCGCGGCATGAGATTGAAGAAGTTCTCGTCGTACTCGCCCAGTATGACCGCCTTCAGCGCCACCTGCGCGAGCACAGGCTTTAGTGCCGGTGGGAACTTGCCCTTCTGTTCCCAGTTCTCCTTCGCGATGGCCTCCTTGAGGACTTCAATCGCCGCCTCGAGCTCGGGATGGAACGGTTGCTATATGCACTCGTTAGCGCCAATGGTGTATGGTGAGGTCGCGGGCTACTCACGATCTCGACCGTCTTCCGCTTCTTCTTCACGCTCCCATCTGCGGTACTGCTTGCGACGGACTGCGTCTCGCTCATCTTCCTCTTCAGCTTCCCACTTCCGTCTTCTGCGTCAGATAGCAGAGCGATCGGTGCATCGGCGGAGCCATCCTCGGCTTTGAGCCTTGCAGAAATGGAAGAGCCGTTCGCGTGAGATGGGCCAGCGGAAGCAGACAGAGCGGGGAGAGGGAGGGTGGCGGTCGATAGAGCAGCGGTGACCGAAGCCGAAGGCGCGAGGATGTTGACTTTCTTGGATTTTGGCTTCCGTTGGGGAGCTCTGGTGATTCTGGTCAGTAACCATCGCGACGTTACGAAAGATGACCTCGTTGGCACGATATATGGGAATGTACGAGGGGGAGCAGACGAGGCGGATGGAGGGTATGGCGAGCGTATGTAGGTGCATTTGACCAGGAGCTCATGGCGGCCACGAGATCCGCGCATATATCGATGGAAAGGTTGGACGGCAGTGGATGGGTGTATACGTACTTGTTAAGCAGTGCTACCTGCCCGCTGGAGACGTAGAAGCCCTTGTGCTTTGTCTGCGCGAAGAAGGTGCGCTCGTCCTGGGCGAGTTCCGAATCGTCGATGAAGGGATCGGTCGTATCGTAGTACTCGGATGCATGATGTCTCCTCTGTCGCGCGAGCGTGAGTGGAGGGTCGATGTTGGACTGGAGGGCGACACGGACCTTCTTGCGCTTCTTCGTCGTCGCGAGCTTGTCCTTGCCTTTGTCCTCTCCCTCGTCGTCGCCTTCGCTCTCGTCGGACGTATCCCGCTTCGGCTCTGGAACCGGTGTCGCCGGGCGTTGACCGGTCGCCTTGGCGAGTTCAGAGACATTGACCTCGTAGTCCTCAGGTCCCCCGAGCTTGATCTCGAGCCGGATGGTCTGCAGAGGACGGCGGGCCGGAGGCGGTGGTGGAGACGGCGAGGAAGCACGAGGGGCGGCGGATTTGGTGGACTTGGGTTTAGCGCCCGGACCCGCTGCGGCTACGTTGGACGATGATGGCTTTGACTTTTTGCCCTTCGCGCCCTCGGCCGCTGGGGTGGCCTCGGTGGACGACGCCGATGCCTCAACGGCGTCGGCGGAGGGTGCGACGTCGGCAGAGGGTGGTCGGTCAGTGTCGTCGGGAGGGAGGGAGGAGTGGTGTGCTGGCGAGGTAGAGGGCGGTGGCGACTCGGAGGGGTCTTCGGACGCTGACTCAGCCGAGCGGGGGTCGTCGTGGACGTCGTCGGGGGCCATGGGTGCGTCGCTGGGGGCGCTGTGGGGGGCAGGGGACGGGGGAGAGGGCGGGGGGAGGGGAGGAGAAGTTACCTAAAGCGGCAAGGGGCGGGGGGACGGGGAGGTTGGGATGGAAGATTGGGCATCTTTGCGATACGACGGGGGAGAATACTTGTTTCGGTTGGGCCGGGTGCAGCTGGCCAGGGCTTGTGGCTTGTGCAGAGAATCGGCGCGGCCTTTGGCCTCCCTTTCCGCCCCTCCCATTGGCTCGGCGTTTGCCATCTACGATTCCCACTGGGCGTCTCTCTCCTCCGCTCTCTGCGAACATCTTCCGACGCGCGGTACTGCCTTCCTGTCACCGTCCACAGCATCCACCTCCTGCGCACCCGGGGACACGCTTTCCGTCGTAGCCTTGTGACGGTCATGCTGACCACCGAGCTGCTGCCGGGTAGGTGCCGGGTCGCCAGCCGCCTACCCTGGAGTAACTCCATTGCTCCGTCTGACGGTCCCGGGCGCCATTGCATTCCCAGGAGGTCGATCTACTAAACAATGCGAGGACAGGATCCGTACTGTGCCGCCGCTTCTCTGGTTCAGTAAGGTATCTATGTACGCGAGAACTCAGCTCAGAGTCTCCCTCACGTCTGCGTGCTCCTAAGACGTCATTGGATCGAACTGCCCATCTCGTTCAGACAGTCGTGGTAAGACTGCAGCAGTGTCTGTTCGCAGCCATGACTCATCATAGTCATACGTCGATACGATCAAGGATCATCTGACAACGGTGACGGCTGTCGGGCAATGCTCGAAAGCGCCGTGAAACCGTGGTAGTCGTATACAGCGTTGCATACATCACAGTTCACTAACCCACTCCAATAGGAGACTCGGGACCCCGTGCTACATATATAAGTGCGCGAGAGAGTAACACGAGCAGGCGTTCATGTTCTCTTATGGTATTGGCGAACGTTACTCCCGGAGCTCCCAGTGTACGAATGTAGACTCCAGAACATGTCGGTCGGTTGATGGTATACTATATTAATCACAATGATTGACGCCAATTCTTTCCATGATACTATGGCTACTATTACACGGACGCGTGCGTATGTCCTGAGAAATCCTAGTCAGTCCGCAGCGGCGTCGGGTTATTCGGAGAGGTACTGACTGGGGTAAGACGGTCTAGAACCTTGCAAGTACGAACACTACAAGCGCCGGGGAACCGCTTAGACGCGCGATGTGCACGTGGGCGGGATCTACATGGATAAACAACGAGGCAGAGTCGTGATCGAGCCCAATTGTGCAGTCTGCTGGTAGTCTGCTACTACCAACGTCAGTCACCAATGGTCGAGAAGCTCGTGCTTGTTCAATGTTTTGGGGCTAGCTGTCTCATACTTTAGCGTTAGGATTAAGTCAATACCCATCGCATCTTTAGCAGCGTTGACATACTCCCCGGTACGGAGTGTGGACGCGTCCGAGGCTTCTTGGACCCTCTGGCGCGGCATAAGTGCGGTCGGAAACAATGCATCCTACATAATAAGGTGACGTTACCGTGGTAAGCTAGCCTCCGAATTCACGGAGGTCTACACTAATCTCGCTCGGCGAACAGGAGGCTCTGGATACACACGGTACTAACCTGTAGAACCCTGGTCCTTCAAAACCGACATAATGTCTCATCGCCATTGTGCAGTGACGTGGTTGGACACCTCTGCCATTGATAGAGAGTCTCTCATGGTCCTGGGACTAGGGGGGTTGTTCAGTTGCTGTGGCGTCACCTCCTGGAGAGTGCGACGCCCCGAGCCCTCGCGCCGCGGCGTTTCTCCATCAGTTATCCGTTGTTTTCATTTTGTCTGCAAGATTAATAAGCGTACTCTTTCTACTTGGGTACAAGAGCCGCTTGAACTCATGTGTGGAGCAATTTCCGAGCATATGAATTTGGTACACCGTCCTGGAGCTTACCATGTTCGCGCTTGAAGCCGGCTTAGTATACGAGAATGTCATGCCACGCCTCAACTTGGGGAAGCATCTCTGAACGCACCCTGTGTCATGCCTGCAGATGATGTGCAGTCTGGCAACGCACAGCTTGAAGCACCCCAGCATTGCC